CAACTGGTGAGTTCGAACAGCTGACCATGTAGTTAGCCACTTTTTGCATAGCCCACTGTGTCTCCAGAGCTCCTTGTTCTATATTGAATCTGTTGCAATATGTTTTGTGATTAAAATGTCAGGTGATTATCCAGCCTCATATAGTTCCGTAGCTAGAAAAGGGAGGCACAGTATAATAGCTTCTTCAGATCATTGTGGATATTTTTTCTCAAAAGAAATAGTCCGGGCTTCAAAGTTGGTTGCAGTCATTGGAATCTGAAACCACATCAATGAATTTTTAAATGAAAGGTTTTTCGTGTCACACAGGTAAAACACCAACCTCGTAACAAGCTTTAAGGGAAGCACACGTCACACAAAAGCGTGAAACCCCGATCATCATAATTAGGACCTGGCAAGGGATCCTCTATCTACTTTTAAAACCTCTGCTTCATGAAGAGCTATCTTGCGTTTTTGAGTGACTCTTTGACCCATAAATAATTGTGTGACATTATGTATTTATTAGTCATTAGGAAAATATTGGTTCACTGAGTTAGGCAGCTATTCCAAATGCTAACAAATTTCACTATACAATATCCATCCTCCCCACCCCACACTGCCATCATATTTGTTAATATAGCCACCAATCTCATCAGATAAACCTACAAAATTGACAAGATACTCGACTTAAAGTGGCAGGTGCAAATTTTTCAAAATTCAAATTCTCACTTAGAAACTTGAATTTTTGTTATTGGCAACAAATACTGCCCATCGTGTTCCTCTGGGGTGACAAGGGTCACTTAGCTAGTTTCAAGGGGAGGTCGACCAATGCCTGGTTGAATAACCAGAACTTGCCTAGCAGTGGCTCTTTCAAGTCACAATGGGGTGCAGTGAAAAAAGGGGAGCTGGCTTCTCTCTCAACTCAAACAATGACACGATTGCTTTTCCTTGAGACATCCATCACACCGCAGTGTGCAGCTAAGTGCTGGATGCACAGTTGCACTTCATCCCACACAACGTTACCGAAGCATGAGCTCAAGCTCGGAGAGTTAAAAAATTGAACAATTGGTGAAGGGGGGATGGGGGGGAGGGGGGTAGAAAGGGGAAACCGATTACAAGGATCTACATATAACCTCCTCCCTGGGGGATGGACAACAGAAAAGTGGGTGAAGGGAGATGTCGGGCAGCGTTAAGACATGACAAAATAATACTAATCTATAAATTACCAAGGGTTCATGAGGGAGTGGGGAGCGAGGAGGGAGAGGGAAAAAAGAAAAATGAGGAGCTGATTCCAAGAGCCCAAGTGGAAAACAAATGCTTTAAGAATGATGAGGGCAACGAATGTATAGGTGTGCTTTACATAATTGACGTATGTATGGATTGTGATAAGAGTTGCATGAGCCCCCAATAAAATGATCAATAAATAAATAAATAGATCAAACAATTTTTATGGCTTCAACCAGAACCTTCTTAAGTGAAACTAATTTTTGATCTGGGTTTTGGGCTGTGTGTAGCGTCAAAGAATGGGGTGACAGTTGATACTGCTGCCATGAAACCTGCTGAGCTCAGGCGGTGTAGTGGGTTATGCATTGAGCTTCTAACCAATCAGTGGTTCAAACCCACCATCTGGGAAACCCAAAGGAACAGTTCTACTCTGTCCTTTAGCACTACTGTAAGTCGGAATCCACTTCATGGTGGTGAGAAGGCGCCACTGTTTCGGCAATCATCAATGCAATGTCATCTAACGGGAAAAGTACATTGTGTCTTAGTACTATTAGGAAAAATCGTTTTGACTTCACAAACCCCTGATAGACGCCAGAGACCCACACTTGGAGAACCATTCATTCTATCATTTTTCTTTCATTTTTCTATTGAAATACGTCCATCGAGAGAAGCACCTTCATTTGTGATTTGTTACCATGGGGTCGTTTCATATAAAGAAAGGCAAGTGAATGTCTTTATTCTTTCTCTTTATTTACTAGATTTTTAAAATTTGGTTCCAAAAACTTTAGCCCTTGCCCTTCGGGTCTGGAACTGAATTCACCTCTGAATTAGAAGAACCAACCATTTAAGATCAAAAGGGCAGCATTTACCCAAGGACAACGTTCAGCTAGCTAGGAAAGGAGAACTGGAAAACAGCAAGCATGGGCAAGTAGGATGCATGGGGATACATTGAGGAGATTGCAATGGATGAACTGAATCTGAACGTGGGTGAATTATTGAATGTAAAACTGATGAACTCCTCTGTAAACCTTCACCTAATTCACAATAAAAAGTTTTGGTTTTGGTTTTAATTACCGTTCAGTGAGAATTTTTTGTTTGTTTCATGTGAACTTAGGGATCTTAACATAGTTCATGTGTTTCAATCTATGGCAGTTATTATTTTAATTGATAACTAACGTATCATTTGCTAAGGGAGGGCCTTTTCATATTGGCTACTGAATCTTTTTGACATGACTCGAGAAATCTTTGACAGCTTCCTTGACTTGCCGTGTGCTAAGATATTTCAAGTTCATACTGTTGGTTTTCTGACTCAGACATGGAATCCACCATTTTTCTAAGAATCCCTGGTTCCATTCAGTAGAAAATTATATTCACAGACAGTAATCTGGGTGCCAAGAATGGGAATGCAATACCAATTATTAATTTAGCTCCAAACTCTCATTTCCAAACTCATCCTTTTAACCGGCTCTGTTAAAATGGATCTGGGCCCTTTAAATATTCTTTTGCTTTTGCTGAATTTTTATCATGAGAGAGTGCTTGAAGATGCAGTAAAGAAAGAAATGAGTTTGCTTCTAGGGGCACCCCTGTGCTCTTATGGCAGGCTTCTGCAGCATGGTGGCATTTGCCAGCACCAGGCTTCTATAGTATAGATAACTTCTCCGGTGCCCAGCTCCCACAGTGTGCATTGGCCAGAAGGGCCTAACAATCAACAGCTTTCCCCATCACTTTAGAGGTTAAATTTCTGCCTTGTTCCAGAGGACAGTTTTCCAGCAAGTTCCAGAGAGTTGTTATGTTCTGCTGGGTTGTCTATAGAAACAAATCCAGTGATACTCATCTATGCATAAGAAAGAACTTTATATAAAGAAGTAATTGTATAGCAATAAGGCATCCCGGCCCAGTCCAACTCAAGTCCAAAAGTCTGATATTAGCCTATAAACCCTCTTCAGACTCATGTAGCTACAGGCTGGTGACACAGAAAGGTGAATCGAGAAGCAGAAAGATCACAGAACGGTGGGTACAGTCACACAAATCCAAGGTCAGTGGAAATATGGCAGGGTGCTGACAGCTCTCAGGGTAAGGCAGCCCACATGAGGTTTCCCCTGGAGATAGAGTCCCAGCAAGCAGGAAGGCAAAGAGGCAGAGAGAGGTTCCTAGTTGTCCTGCTTGTAAGAAGGCCACACCCTCAAGGAGGCACCATCAGACTGTGATCGGATGGACAGGTTGAACTCCATTCCTACACCTTCATACATCTTCAAGTTGACATAAAGTCTAACTGCCGCAGTTGTTTCCAGGCAAGTTTTGGAGGGCAGAGTTCTAGCAAGTTCCAGAGGGCTGTGTCTTCGTTTCTTAGTGCTGCTGTACCAGAACAAACACATTTATTCTCTCACAGTTTAGAGGCTCGAAGTCCGAATTTAGGGCACTGGCTGAAGAAGGAGGTGTTGTGGCTACTCTGGGGGCAAATCGTTGTCTTACCTTTTCTACTCGGCCCTCCTTGGAGTTCTTGGGTTTGCAGACTGGTTTGCATCCCTCATGTTCAGATACTATAGGTCTTCCCTCTGTGGCTGCTTTTCCTGTGCCTGAACAGCTCTTTTCCATCTAAAAAGTATTCATTTAAGCACTTCTATGCGGTGGTAGTTACATAATTCCATGTCAACTTGATAGAGTGTAGGGTGGAGTCCAGCCTATCAATCAGTTCACAGGCTGATGATGTCTCCTTGTGGGTGTGGCCTTCTCAAAAGGAGGATCCTGTGGACCTCCCCCTCTCTCTCTGTTTCACCTTCTTGTTGCAGAGCCACACTGGGAGCTGCCAGAACCCTGTGATGACACCACTGCCGTTGGATCCACAAGATTTTGCACCCACTGGCCGGTGATGTTCCTGCATCGTTGTATGTGGCTGTGTGAGTCTGAAGAGGAACTTATGGACTAGTATCAGACTTATGGACTAGCTTTGGACTTGATCTGGATTGGGCTGGGATGTTTGCTTGGTATATAATAATTACTTCTTAATATGAAGCTCTCTCTTACACATATATGAATGTCACTGGATTTATTTCTCTAGTCAACCTGGTCTAACACATACAAAGGGGTACCCCCCCCAAAAAACTGAAAAAAGCTCCTCTGGGCAGAACTTTCATAATATGCACTTTTCCCACTAGACAAGCATTGAGCAACTCACTCTGAGTTAATGCACTGAGTGGGGTCCCCTGGGAAGGTTCTCTCTGGTCACAGTGAATTTTTTCGTAAAAGCAGTTTTGTTTGAACCTCATTTTTTTGTGACGACCAATTTAAGGAAACAGCATGTGGCTGTTAAAGCTTGTTTTCGACTCAGGAAAAATGCCGCAGAAACTTGTGATGTTGAACACAGCTTATAAGGATAGCGCTATGGGGAAAACTCAAGTGTACGAGTGTTTTTCTCATTTCAAAAAGGTGAAATGTTGATTGATGACAAACCTCATTCTGGACATCCGTCAATTTCCTAAATGGATGAAAATGTTAACAAAATTCATGCACTTGTGCTCAAAAACTGACAGACCATTGAAGAGATTGGGAAGTTATCTGGACTCTCTTGGAGCTCGGTTCAGCAAATTTTAACGGAAGATTTGGGAATGAGAAGGGTCGCTGGCGAATTTGTGCCTCGGGTTCTGACCGACCAGGAAAAAGAGCATTGCTTGGAAACATGCAGTGCTTTGAAAAAACAGCTTTGAAGCTGCCCAGACATTTTTCTCAATGCCATTACTGGTGATGAGACATGGTGCTATTCTTACGACCACAAAAGCAAACATCCATCAAGCCAGTGGAAGATGCCATCGTCACTTCGCCCCCAAAAAGCTCGTCAAGTGAAATCAAAGACCAAGATGATGCTCATTTGTTTTTTTGATGTGAAAGGAATAGTGAATTTGGAGTTTGTTCCATCAGGTTAAACTGTTAATCAAGTTATTTAGAATTTCTGAGAAGATTGTGTAACAGTGTGTGATCAAAAAGGCCTGATTTGTGACAGATGGGGGACTGGTTTTGCCACCACAAGAATGCACCTGCTCACAGTCAGTGCGCCAGTTTGGGGCAAAAAAACAGCATGTCTCTCTTGTCCCAGGCACCTTACTCACCTGACCTCACACCGAGCGAATTCTTTTTGTTTCCGTGAACGAAGAGGAACATGAAAGGACAGTGATTTGACAATGTAGAAGAGGTTAAAAAACAATT